CCACGCTGCCCTCTACTGCCATATTTGAGTTAAGCTGCTTTTCTGAAACTTTAGAGTAAGAATTGGGAAGGATACATAATTCTTAACTCCCCCTCAACATTTTTTTTAGATTCATAAACATTTTGTTCCCACACAGATGAAGGGCTGGTAACAGCGATATAGATTACAAGATATCTTGTTGAACAGAGCTTCTGCCTTATGTTGAAGACTTACTATTAGAGTTATGTCAAAGTGGGCAGCCATGTTGGTCTGAAGCAATAGAACAAAGTTAGAATCCAGTGGCACCAGTGTCCACACGAAAGTTCACACCTCCAATAAACCTTTGTTGGTCTTAAAGGTGCCACTGGACTCTAACTTTGTTCTATTAGAGTTATGCCTAACCTCGCTCCCTGGCGTTTTGTGGTTGGCTCTGCCTCCTGGAGCAGCCATTTTCCGCTTGCACCCACCACCTTGTGTCAGAATTCCAAATGTGCCCTCAAAGTCAAAAAAGCTTGGGGATGTAACACCCAACAGCATGACAGGTTGCCAGGTTTAGAGTATCGGGCTAGAACTGAATCAACCCAAGTTCGTATCTTCACTCAGGGCCTAACTACACAATACATTTTCCTCAGGTACGCCCCAGTCCAGGTTGACAGGTGTGTCCTGGGAGTCCTTACCTCACAAGTGCATGAGGAGAAAGGAGACTTAAGACTTCCCTTCACTGTTTTCCTAACCTGAAATGGGTCTGATGGGGTGTACTTGCCCTGTTGGGGAAACCTATGTGTACCCCCATCAGTACCCCAGGACCATTTCAGGTCAAGAGAAGGCTTAAGCCCCCTCTGCCCAAGCACTATGGTCCCAATTCAAATTGGGCAGAGTCTGGGAAGCATGGACTCCCAGAACACATCTGTCAGCCTGATCCAGAGGAGTTCCTGTGAGGAAAGTATTCTGTGGTTAGGCTCTCGTTAACTGATCTTAGTCCAGTCACACTCTCTCAGCCTAGCCTAGCCTAGTTTTGTTATGAAGGAGAAAACCGCATATGCCTTCCCTGAGCTCTCTCTAGGAAGGGCAGGATATAAATACAAACAAATAAAGACAGGGCCTTGAAGGGTGAAACCAGCATCTGAATGCCCATTCCACCCTCCGTAATGAAAGCCATTAGCAGACAGCTAGAGCTCTTCCTACCACATTTTTTCCCAATCTGGACGTTATCTGGGTTTGGTGCATTCTCCTACATCCTGTGAAAAGACAAGTTTGGCCATACATTAATCGGTCAGGAATTTATGTCCCGAACTAGGCTAAGCTTAGCATCCTTCCTGCATAGTTGGAGAACAGGAAATCAAGGTGTTGGCATCTGACCCCATGCAGAGAAGTCTCGTGTGCTCGTAATACCTGTAAGGCAGGTGTGTGTCATCATCGTCTGGCCTGCGGCATCAGACAGTTACAGATTTTGGGATGCTCAGGGTATGATGCCGTCTCGTGATCTGGCACTGAACTGATATGCAAACTGAGATGAGACACTGGATCTAGCTTGGTCATGTTTTCTGTAACTGGTCAGTCTTCAAACAGAGAGAGGTCTTCTCCAATACATGTCTTTGAGACCCAGGTTTGAATCCTCACTCTGCCATGAAAACTTGCTGGGTGACCTTGGGCTAGTCATGTAGTCTCCACATAACCTACCTTGTGGGGTTGTTGTGAGGATAAAATGGAGAGTGATGCAAGGTGCTTTTGGTCCCCACTGGGGAGAAAGTCAGGATATAGATTATTCTTTTAAAAAACCCTGCAATGGTCTGGGATTAAACCTGGAATTTTCTGCATGCAGAATGGATGCTCTACCTCTTGAGCCCTGCAGCCACTGTTCAGTGAACTGCCCCTTACAAGCACCACAACAGGGTCCCTCCTCACGTCCACCCTGAATTTTGTGGGACTCGTTGGGATCTGAGAAAAGGAAGCAAAAGAGTTAGGTAAGGTCAATGCTCCTCCTAAAGGACTTCTGCATCTGTCTTCTGGGTGTCCAAAGGGGAAGGGACTGCAGGCAAAGGCACTGGGATGGGCCCTTTTTGAGGCACAGGAAAATATTCTTCTACTGCCAGATTCAAAGGGAACGCCTTTCCTTTTTGCTCAAATCTGATGGAGGTATCCTCGCCCCGGATGCCTTCAGCAGGCAAGGCCCAGGCTGTGCGTTCTGGAAGTCTGGCTGGTAGAGGGAGGTTCCTGATTTCCTTCTCAGTGTTTCTCTGACGTTCCTCCTGCCACAGAAAGGACAAAAGGGCTGGTTTGGTTGGGAAAAAATGCGTCCTGTAGAGAGGCCTTGAGTTGTGCATGTTATGCCATCCAGTCCCCACAGATGGCACCACACCTGAAAGAAGTGTTGTTCTCCCTGGGCTTAATCAAAGAATTTCCTACAGATCTGTTTGTTCCGATTTAATTGCAGTGTTCTGGACAGTTGCGTGTTTTCTGCAAGGCTTTCCAGGTGGTCTTGGGAAAATAGATTTTTATTGGGGAGGGCTACGTCAGTGACTCGCACAGTAAAGATGCATCATTCGCTCTGATCCTTGAAACTTGGGATAGATATGCTTTGGGCGTTCTTTTGGTCCATCCTTCTGGGTTGGATTTGGATTTGGAGCAAAAATAAACAGGAGTCTTGTGGAGTTTTTATTCCAGTGCAAACTTTGGTGGACTAGAACTAGGAATATTACTTTGTTTACCTTTCAGATGCCACACGACTTCTGTGTGTGTTTTTTGCTGCCACAGCTAGTATAATTAAGTGCCATAAAGTAACAACCGACCCAGGGCAGTCTTTCAGGGCAAGAGATGAATGGATAGTCTTCCTTGGTGATCTTCCATCCAAATACTAACCATGGCTGACCCTGTTTAGCTTTGAAGCTCTGATAAGCTTTTGCTACTTGAAATGACTACCGATGAAGTTTAAAGCAAAAAAGTGCCAAAGCAGGATTATAGTCAAACTACAAGAAGACAAAAATGTTACTATTTAAACTGTTTTATTATTATGAATGTTTTTCTTACTATGTTGTTTACCGTCCTCAGCCTTACACGGGGGTAGGGCGGTCTATACATTTGAATGATAAATAAATAAATATAAAAGTAACGACTGCTGAGGAATTACACAACCTTAAGGTTGACGATAAAATACGGATCTGAAAGTTTGATAAAAGAAAGCTGACAGGAAGAAAGTAGATTCCTTTGAAATGTGGTATTGTAGTAAGTTTTATGGATACCACGGGCTGACAAGAAGACAGATAAGTGGGTTCTAGGTCAAATCAAGCCTAGAAGCTAAAATGCCCAAACTGAGGCTATCATACTTTGGTAATGATATGAGAAGACAAGGAGTCACCAGAAAAGACAAGAATGCTAGGAAAAACTGAAGGCAGCAGGAAAAGAGGAAGACGCAACACGAGATGGATGGACTCAATCCAGGAAGCCACCGCCCTTGGTTTGCAAGTCCCGAGCAAGGCTGTTAATGTTAGGATGTTTTGGAGGTCATGAATTCATAGGGTCGCCATAAATTGAAAGCAACTTGATGGCACCGCTCTCTCTCACACACATGTGTGTGCAGCAATTCAGGCTGCTATGGAACAGGTGCCCTTCTGGGATTCTTACCATGTGAAGTTTTGGAGCTCAGCCAGACCTCACCTGCAGCATCACTGCAAGACTCAAGGCTTAAATCAGTTTTGTAGATGGGGTTCTGACCCAGCATATTAGGAGATGGGGTGGGAGACAAGGTGATGTGTTGGTCTCCTGTTTGTGATGACATGGTGCTCTGTTGTGTTCTTGGTGGGCAAGTTGGAAATTGTTCTGTATTTCAATGGAGGCTTCCAAACTAGCAAAGGGGAACTGTGTGACACCAGTGAGCAACTCTGCTTCCTGGAGGCAGAAGGACCCTGTGCTTCTCCAGTACGACCCCTTGCGTTGTACGACACACAAGTAGGAGCCCCTGTGGTGTAGTGGCTAAGAGTGGCAGGACCCTAATCTGGGGCTGATTCCCCACTCCTCCGCATGAAGCCAGCTGGGTGACCTTGGGCCAGTCACAGTTCTCTCAAAACTCTCTAAGCCCCACCTACCTCACGGGGTGTTTGTTGTGGAAACAGGAAGGGAAGGTGATTGTAAGCCGCTCTGAGACTCCTTTGGGTAGTGAAGAGCGGGGTATAAAAACCAACTGTTCTTCTTCTGTGACTGAAGGCAGTGGCTTAAGTAGGCTTCTTCACCAGGGCATAAAGGCAGGCAGCTTGCCAGGGAGGGGACTTTTCCCTTTACAGGAAATAGAAGCTTCTGGTGAATGGAGCTGGTGGCTTGCCAGAAGGAGTTCTGCATTTCTGGGTCATCTTCTGTATGGGTGTGAGTTTTTTTTAAAAAGCTACCAGTGTCCTTTCCCTCACACCTAAAGTAATGCATCTCCGAAAGGGCCATAGCTGCGTCCTGCCTCCATCTTTAAAATTAATCTTAGCAAATCTGTGCCTTCATAGAGGCAACCCACCTGATTGGTTTAGAGATGTATACACTGCTTTGCTCCCTGACGGGGAACCCTGAGCAGTTTACAACACTGTCCTCCCCTCATGCAACAACAACCCTGAGAGGTAGGTTAGGGCTGAGAGAGAGAGTGACCGGCCTTTTACTTTGGAGTGGGGAGGTTGACCGGTACAGTAAAACCACTCTATGCTCAGAAGTTCATTTTCTGAATTGCATGTTCTGGGGCTCTAGCACTGCATCTACAGATCTTGAGAAGAGAAAGCAACTCAACAGAAGCAAGGGTTTCTTGCAACCCCTTGGGCAGTCTTTATTCCCACCCACCCAACGCTTCCTTCCAAGGCAGGGCTTCCTCCTCTTCCCCTCTGTGCCTGTGTGGCTTTGACTCACTCTGGGAATAGCAGGAACTGTGTGGTGATGTCAGGCTTCAGGCAGTGAAGAGTGGGAGGGGACACGGTGCTCTGCTTGGCTGGCTAGAAACTCTCCCTGTACCGGGCTGAAAGGTACAGCAGCCAACTAGCATTCCAATCCAGACATCGCACTTCAGAGCAGGGGGTGCCCTGAACTCAGCCTCAGGATGAAGAGAAAACGCAAAGGTAAAGCTCGTTCCTGGGACTTTCCCTCCCACCTGGCCTCCAGGCCAACGTTAGCAGGGGCTCTGAGACCTGATTACTGGGGAAGTGGGGTGTAGGAGCCAAATGTTTTTGACTCCGTAGACCAGATAGTCTCTGGCTTTGCTTTCGCCCCTGTCCTGAAATCAGGGGAAGGGGCAGTGGATGCACAGCTGTCTCTCTGCTCATGAGAGCCAGAGTTGCAAAGTGGTTAGTCTGCTGGACTAGGATGTGGGAGGCCCAGGTTCGCTCCTCACTCTGCCATGAGAGTTTGCCAGTCACACACGGTCAGCCTAACCTACCTTACAGGGTTGTTGTGAGGGTGGAATGGAGGAGAGGGAAACAGTTTAAAACACTTTGGGTCCCCATTGTGGAGAAAGGCAGCATATGAATTTAATTTTTTTTTAAACTGTAGTGCGGAGGGATAATACTGTCCTGCCTTGCAGGGTGATTGTAAGGATTGCTAAGGATGTGGACACAAAAGGTTTTGAGCATTTTGAACTGCTCTCAGAATGCTAAGAATTGTAATTTGGGAGGCAGATGAGCTTTTCATGATGTTCGGCACGTGAGTGGGGAACTTAGGTGTTGGGAGACCGGTCCTCGGATGTGTTCTAAGCTGTTTATACCACAGTGGCTAGTTAGGTTTGAAGAGACTAATAGAGGTGCAAGTTAGGGTCTTGGATAGAGATGTGAAAGTCCGGAAAAAACCCAGAAAAATGCAGAAAAAACCCGTTTCCCCCCCGTTTTTTTCCTGAAGCCTTGTTTTTTCCCAAAAAATTGGTAAAATTGAAAAAAGAAAAAAAATTGATTATGGAACGTTTTATTTTAACATGATGAATAAAATATTTTAAGACAAGGTGTTCAAATATTTTCCAAATCATTTCTAAAATATATATATATGGTATCAGATTGATCTAATTTCTGTGCACTGAGGACAAGCAAGTCCTAGGTTACAAACTGAACCCTCCAATGCAAGAACGAGATGCATTTCTTCCTTTAGGAGGTGCGATTGTCAGAAGAAAATTAAAAAGTTTCAGTTTTGTTTTTGCATGTGGGTGGGTATTCTGTTTGAAATAATTGTTTGGATACACTATATTTTTAATATGCTAGTTGTGATAATTTCATGCCAAGTAAAAATGTCCATAGTCATATTTTATGTTCCTAAAGTAACAGAATGACTTTCAATCTAGAAAAGACAAAAGAAATGCTAATGTAGCATTTTTTCAATTTTTCCGAAAATTTCCATTTTTTTCTGAGCTTCAAAATTTTCGGAAATTTTACATCTCTAGTCTTGGAGGGGTTCCAAGCAGTCCTTGTTCATTTGTCTCTCTGGATTTGGGCGCGAGGTGGGAAGTTTTCAATTGCTCTTAAAAGTTGTGCCCTCTTATGAACTGCTCTTCTTCTGCCCTGGCACTTCCTAAAGAACTAATTGACAGTTGCAAAGCAAACTACGTTTTGGCTGTGTTATAATTATTGGTCTTGACCTTGCTCTTCTGTGCTTTTTTATGTGGCTGTTTACAAGAATGCCCGTGTTCTCTCTTGCCATCTCCCGCTATTTTTGTATGATTTTATTTTACTAGATTTAAAAAAAAGACAACACAGGGCTGTGTTGCAAAAACCGCTGCAGAGAATCTAGAGTTTTAGGACTCTCCTGTGCACTGGAATGCTCCTGGTGTCCACTCCTGTGCCGTTGTCCTCCCTCCCATCCCATTTCTTGCCCCGTGTCCTTGTGCAGCATCTAGTTAAGCTGCTTTTGAAGTATCGTGGGGGTGCTGGTGAGACTCGTTGGGCCCCATTCCTGTTGCTGTCAAGTGCTGGGCGGGACAGTTGGGTGTTTTGCTGGTGGTGTTTGCAACCAGGCAGTCATTGGCGTGTGGTAGGCAGGGGGTGTGACTGTCCAGGGATGCTTCCTCGGGAGGATGCAGGGAAGTGCAATGACAATAGACTAAATGGGAGTCTGCAGTTCCGTGCAAATAGGATGAAGCTGTGTAGTAATCTAATCACTGGGTTGTCACAATGGCTGCTGTGTGGTAACGGAGGCAAAGCAATAGAGCTGGATGGGATACCAGTGAGGCTAAACCTGTTGCCTGTAGCCCTGTTCCCATGTTACAGTGAATGGATGTACGTCCTGTATTTATGTGCATACATCTGTTTATAAGAGAGTGCCAGTGCACGTTCATTTTACAAATAAAGCCAGGGACCGGTACCTGGATAAATGCAGGGTTTATGTTGCTCACTGGGCTGTGTATGCATTGAGCATACCAATTGAATTGCTCAATGCAAATCTTAAGAGAAATCAAGTGTATACGGTTCACAGATTGTGCATGTGTTTATTGTGACTAGGGCTACTGATTGCATCAAATGGTGTCTGGTTTCTGCCGGATGTGATTTAAAAAAAAAAACATTAGCTATCTTCTTCAAGGATGTGAGTTCTACACAAGCATAGATGGTGGTATTATGTAATTATGCAAATTTCAGTTCTAATCATCTGTGCTGGTGTTGGGGAAGCAAGCTTCTTGTCCTCAAGAGATCTGAGCAGTAATTCCTGGCTGCACTACACATGACTGGGAAAGGGAGGGAGGAACCAATATCTTTGACTCAGTATTCTTGAACTATTATCCTTGTAAAACAAACTGCATGAAGTTGGAGAATAATTTTAGATGAGGTGCTAGTAGCAAAGCAATAGAAACCCAGTTGGGCAGCGTTACCTAGTAGCTGGAGGCATGTGATCAGCTTTGTGACTGTAAGGAATGGCACCTATTTCTGCAGCTCTTGACCCTATTGGAAACCTGTGTGTTTCCATGAGTTTTGAAGAGTGTTTTGGTGAACTGTTGGTTTCTGTGTTGCCAAAATGGGAGAGCTGTCTTTTGTTGTCTTGTGCCGTCTTCCACTTCTCCATCCCAAGAGCAATGTCTCCTGGTCTTCATTGTAAGAAGTCTTCAAATTGTAGACATTGGAATCTTCCATCATGCCCTAAACTAGGGAGGTAAAGCACAAAGCTATATGGATTCATTTACAGTTTATATATTGCTGTAAATGTTTTCCAAAGTCTGGAAAACCAGCAGAGAGTTTCCCTGTGTATTCCTGGACCGGCTGTGCCCGAGGACCATGTGTTTTCCTATTGTGGCCCTGCTGTTAATAATCTGTATGCAAGTAACAATGAAGCAAGTTAACATGTTAATTTTTAAAAATTGAAATCAGCAGTAGAAGAGATAATATGTAAGAATATGTACATGGGCTAGATAGAGTTTGAGTATGTTAATGTTTTGGCAGTTTCAAGGGATGCTTCAAACAAAATTTACATCCCCCCCCATGCATCTCTTTCTCTCTCCCCCCCCCCTTTTAACTGCTGGAGATGCAGCCTCCTGAAGAGTTCTGAGGAACTTGGAAGCATATGTTCATAATGTTGTCATCTTTTGGCTGAACCTAATAAAAAGGTATTACACTATTCTTGTGCCTTCAGGCTTTTTCCGTGGACCAACATAGCTACTGACAATGTTTATGTCTCTTTTGGGAAACACTGTATTGCCTTGGATGGGAATTCAAGAGATTGTCTGCTGTGATCCACACATACCTCATCTAACAGCAGTTTTTTGGGAGGGAGGTTTGCTTCAGAAGTATTTATGCAAATGGTAATTTTATTGAACTGGGCTACAATCCCTCTTGTTTCTAGAAATCACTGAATTGTCTTTGTGCAGAGTTGTGGTTTGTTGTATGTTTCTTTGTTTGTTAAAGAGAGTACCCGTATCCCTGGCTGTATGAACATGAAACTGAGCAAACTTCAGAGGACAGCGGAAGACAGGAGGGCCTGGCGGGATCTAGTCCATGGGGTCGCGAAGAGTCGGACTCGACTGTGCGACTGAACAACAACGCTCTTTTCAGTTTGCTTACTTGCCACCTGCTATTCTCAAATAGCGCCATCTCTCACGCTCCTTCTGCCAGATGTTTGGCTGCACTTTAATATGCATCTGCCTCGAGCAGTCCCTTTGCCCTTCTCGGTTTGGCTTGCTGCCTGCTTTTGGAGGCGAGGGAGGCTCCAGTCCACGATACACTTTCAAAAACCAGCAAGGTGGGGAAGTCGACCTTTGCTCTCTTGCCCCCCCCCCCCCCCACCTCCCCGGTGCTTTCCCTGACATGCCTTTCTCTCTGCACTCTTCCCTTCCTGGTTCTGAAGTTGATCACTTTAAAGTTTCCTCCCACGGTTTTTCCATCTTAAATTGCTACTTACTGATAATGAGAGCCCAGAAATAAACACAGGCGGATGCAAGCGCAGCTGGGCCGGCCTTGGCAGGGACTCGTGCAAAGGCCGGCTGGCTTTCTCGCAAGGGCTCATGCCGCCTTCCAGCCGTGCCTGGAGGAAAGCCCGACCAGCTTCCCTGCTGCAAAATTGTGGGTTTGTTCCTTGCCAATCACCAGGTGTGTGAAATCCTTTGCAGAAGGGGGGACGACAAGGCCCCCAGGCTCCCTGTGTTGGCTGTATTATAGAGGTAAGGGAAAGCAGTTCCACACGGCAGTTGAGCACAGTTAGCGTTTAGGTTTCTCCTACTGCTAGGGGTAGCTTCTGGAAGCTTTGCATTAATGCCTGCATCTCAGCAGTCTGGGGAAACCCGCTGATTGCCTTTCTGAAAGTGAAGAAGAGAAGAGCAAACTAAGGAGGGGAGGGAGTGGGTTGTTGTTGGTGGAAAGTCCCGTCAAGTTGCTACTGCCTTGTAGCGGCCCCATAGAGTTTTCAAAGTAAGAGACTCATGGAGGTGGTTTGCCATTGCGTGCTTCTGTGTAGCAACTCTGGACTTCCTTGATGTTCTCCCATCCAGGTACTAACCAGGGCTGACCCCGCTTAGCATATGAGATCTGATGAGATCAGGCTAGTCTGGGCCATCCAGGTTGGGCAGGTGGGTTTACAGCAGCCCAGAGAGACTTCTTATCCAGAAAGCCCAAGGTGCAGTAATTCTCCACGTGGTATATTGCCAAGCACCTGTCCAGGT